CCTGGGTCTGAGGGAGGAGGGTTTGGGGTCTGGCCTCCTGGGTCTGAGGAGGAGGGAGTTGGAGACCTGGGAGCTTGTACTCCTGACTCTGAAGGAGCTGGAGCCTGGACTCCTGGATGGAGGAGGAGGGGGCTGGGTCTGAGGAGGGGGGCGCTGGGTGGGCTCCCTGTCCCTGAGGAAGCTGGGGTCTCACCCTGGCCTTCAGCAGCCGCTCCCTCTCGGCCACAGCCTGCTGCAGGAGCCGCTCCATGCGGGCGATGTCTGGGTGGAGGGCCTCGCAGCTAGGAGAGAACGGACACCTGGGCAGGTTGGGGCTGCTCAGCCTTCTCCTCCCATCTCCCCACCTTCTGCTGACGTCTCACCTGTTCCCAGGGCCACAGTTCAGCAGCTGGTAAAGCGGGTGTCTCCCAGAATCCCCAGCTGCTGGTGAAAGAGCTGAGGCCTCCAGGGGTCCTGGGGGAGAGGGGGCCGGGTCAGGGGGCTGTATACACCCTGGCCCAAGCACCCCACTTCCTCCCGACAGGCGTCCCTGCTGGTTCCCACCCCTGCTGCAGGGCTGGGGCGGGTGGGGAAGGAGAGGGTCCTCACCAGTACAGTGCAGGGACAGAGGTCGGGGGGATCCTCTCTGGCTCGTCCTCTCTCCCTTCCTCCGGGGCAGGCTTCCAGTCCTCTGGAGGCCGATGGAGCCCTGCAAACACACGGGGCCCAATCACTGAACCTCAATTCTATGTCAGAGAACAGTAGGGTCAAACTGCCCTAGCCCCACCCCTGTTTTTTTTTTTTAACCCACCGCATCAAATCGGTTCCAACTCCTAGCAGCCCTACAGAACGGAGTAGAATTGCCCCGTAGGGCTTCCAAGGCTGTGAATCTTGACAGAAACAGACTGCCTCATCTTTCTTCTGCAGAGTGGCTGGTGAGTTCGAACCATGGGACTTTCAGTTAGCAGCCTGATGCTTTAACCACAGAGCCACCAGAGCTTCTTCCCATCCCCTTGGCATATACCCTAAAGCCCATGGTAAACACAGATGAACCCTGAAAACCCAATGTTGACTATGATTTAGGTGACCATGAAACTAGAAGATGGTGCCCAGCTACC